TACGTGAAGATAACATCGGATACGTTTGATACCGTCAACACGATTGTTACGACTGACCTCAATATATGATAAGACCTGATAAATCACCACGATTACTCCACGATTAAAACCACGATTTCAATCGTGATAGGGGGAACCTAACATTATGTATTGTAGACCACAATTGCCAAGGAAATGTATCTTTAACCAATGTAAATGTTTTTAAGACTGGCTTATCTGATCTCTTTATGTGTACAGCATGATTACATATGGACTTTGAGTAAATAACCTTCGGCCCAGATGGTACTATATTTTATGTCATTGAGATTCAAAGATACTTTATTTTATGTATACCCTGTGGAAATTCCTCGCTGTTTCAATTCCTTGTTTTTATTGTAAATTACAATAAACTAATCATAGATAATTCCTGTAGGTTCGCCAGAATTCCCTTTTAATGATTCAACTGATCTCTTAAATGTTTACAGCCATTGTGTTGTCTTATCTTGATATCAGCAAGAGAGAGGGAGAGAGAGAGAGAGAGAGAGAGAGAGAGCGAGAGGGAGGGGATAGAAATTGGGGTTTAACTTCCACCCGACACAAATTAGGTCATTTCGGGACTAACACATTGTTCAATTTTTTTTTTATTTCAATAATTCGCTTGAGCGTAGGGGTATTTAGCAGTGGGAGGGAACCGGAGGACCCGCAGAAAACCCACGAGGTTGGACAGGCAACCCTACTCCTTGTCACGTACAACCTGGGAATCGAAACCACGCCAGTTGACTCAATGACAGACCTTATGATACATGCTCACCACCCCCTCCCCATAAATAATACAGTCAGTAATACAAGTTGATCAAAATTCAGGTCAACTACTAATTAGTAATATATTCCTTAAAGATGCATTATATAAGAGCTAAATATGTCTATTTCAGATTTTTCGTTTGGCCCCAGATGTAAAAACTATAAACTATTATATAGACAGCTATGCACATCAACTCTCTAGAACATAGAATGGCTGAGATTAAAATGGATTAGAACATCCGTGAGATTTAAAATAATAACGATAAAATGGATAATCGAGACTGAGCCTCGATTGTCAAATATCGTTGCAATAAACAATAAACAATCTACACTATTCTTCAAACAGTCAAAACTTCGCTCAGAATAAAGTAAAATTTTATTTTCGGTGTCTATTTTTAAACTGTTGTAACAAAAACGGCTAGATTTTAATCTATATCTTACATAATGCATCTTTAAAGGTCCGGTTAGCTTAAAGATGCATTATGTAAGAATGAGATGGTAACTAGATGTCCCGTCAATCTAACTTATTGATTGATTGCCTGCAAACTAGCACTAATTTACATATATATGTTCAGAAATCCACATTTTTAGGTTACATTTCCAAAAGGGTGTCTTAAATAAAAGCTAATAAAAGAAAATGTTTAATGCCTTTTTAATAATTTGTTAAAACTGATTTAAATCTTTCTTTTTAAAAAAAAAATATTATAATTAATTGGTTTTGTGTAAGATGCACTTTATTTACTTCTTTGGTGCTATAAAATATGAGGCTTGTTATTTTGGAAATATTTATATGCGCCATAAAGTGTAATTGGACAGTAATTGACATGTAATTGACCATTAGATGATTTTGGGAATATAATTGATTACATTTCCATTACTCATTACTTTTGAAATCTTCCATTACTCATTACATGGCCGTTAAAGAACTATGGATATGAAATGCTGCTACCTGGTCAAAATGTCCCTCCTAGCATATTACCTCTTCAATAGCAAGATTAGTGCAGACGAGTTAGGCGTTAAATCCCATTTCACTCATTTCACCTTTATCTATCTGAGAGGGCTGGGTGAACGCAAGGTCTAACGCGTACACTTTAGACCACAAGATATGTCATTCACTTTAGTGGTGTGATTTCTATCCCACACCTTGTGGATTTTCTCCGGTTCCTTTGCGGTGTCCTCACATCACTTAAGAACAATACTTACACGCAAATTATTGTTACTCCCGAAATGACTCACCCCATCTCTCTCTCTCTCTCTCTCTCTCTGGATCTGGCCAAATATTTAGGACGTCGATTGTGGTGGATGTTTCATGTTTTACATAATTATTCCCTAAACTGACATAAACTATTGTAAGGCCAATATCCCTAGAGATGTAATTATCATGTAAATATTAATTACTTCAAATGCCCAACCACAGAGATTATTACTTATTCCCAAGGGATGGTAATATAATAGTCGTGACATATACTTGCTACAGAAACCGCACTTTGTTCCCTTCAATTTCTTTTTAATATAATTTTATATCGTTATTCCTGAGAAGAAGAATATGCTTGTTTTGATATACCGACTTCTTAAACTACAGAAACCGCATTCTGTTTCCTTCAACTTTATTTAATGTAATTTTATATAGCTATTCCTGAGAAGGGTAATATGCTAGTTTTAATATACAGGATTCTTAAACTACAGAAAGCACATTCTGTTTGCTTCAATTTTGTTTAATATAATCTTAAATACTTATTCCTTAAGGGGGGAAATATTCTGGTCTTGATATATGGGCTTCTTAAACTCTACAGAAACCATATTTTATTGGCCTCCAATTTTCTTCGGGTTTTTTTTTCATAATTTTATATATCTATTATTGCTTATTCCCGAGTCATGTAATATGCCAGTCTTAATAACATTGATATACATATTTACTGACTTCTTCAACTACAGAAACCACATTTCCTTCAATTTTGTTTGATGTAATTTTATATATAATATTATTTACTCCCGAGGCGAGTAATATGTCTTGATATACTGGCTTCTTAAACTATATAAACCTATAACGGTAAAGCTCTTTGATTTTTGGGGTATATTCTATGCCCGGAATAACTTGCGGACTGAAAGTCGGAAGCGGATTTGGATATATACAGGGAAATTTGGGGTTATTCTTCTGAAATTTTGTCTTTAAACCTGTTACGGGTTATTCTTCCAAGGTAGTTTTTTTCTCATAAGAAAACATGACATTCTGGGATATTCTCATTTTGCGTACATGTAAACATAGACGGTTTATGAAGAAAGTTTTAAAAAAAAGAACAGAAAAACCTCTGTTTTTCTTTTTCTCGAGATATTTTCTTCAGTTTTTCTTTCCCCAGCATAACCCCAGTCTCGTGCTTTATCCTACACATAAAAAACGCATTTTCTTGACCTTCAATTTTCTCCTTTTTGTCATAATTTTATAAATATAATATAACTTATTCCTGATTCGAGGCTTGTTAAACTCTACAGAAACTGTATTTTCTTGGCTTTCAGTTTCCCTTTCTTTTGGTAATGTTATATATTCATACATATAACAGTTCTGTCAATTGTGTTACCTTTCTTTCTTCTCGAAGAAATTAAAACGCGTTATTTATTGCACAGATGTAATTTTGAATATTACAAATTTCTGATTCAGAAATTAGAGCTTCCTTAATTTGGGAATAACAAATAAGAAGATGCTCGTTATTTGTGAAATAAATGTGATTTTAATGATATATACCAACATATAAAAATGTCATAGCATATTATTTATTGCAGAGACGTGATTTCGTATATTAAAAAAATCATAGATTCGGAACATATAATATCGTTGTTAATCTAAGTAAAGAATAACAAAATGTTGCTGATGGAATGAATAAATCAATGATACAAAACCACAGAATGAAAGGACTTTCTGTACGAGAAATTTTCTCCTTGTTTCATCACAGTCCTTGGAATATTTCAAGCTGTGTGCATAGCATACTTTGGCCCCATGTAGATCCCTAGCTTCCCTAAAACATTAAAGAGTCACGGTGGCTCAGTGGGTAAAACGTTCGCTGTCTTACCCGGAGGTCCCGTGTTCGATCTCTGCGTTAGCCGAGGAAGGTCATCGTGATTTTCCGCCGTGGTTTCTCCTTGACAGTGGTGCAGGAACGACGACCTGGCAAGGGCACAACTTATAGTCGTTCAGATGAAACAAAAAACGTAGGTGCCGTGTACATATTGGTGTGCAAGTAAAGGGTCATTTAACAGTTAGAATTCGATATAAGAGTAGGCCATTTCATTTCATTTCACATGCATATACATGTAAGAGAGATACAGACAATTTTCGAACAATTAAGTGTAAGAGTATTCCTCTATGTCCAATCCAGACTAAGAACAAAGTTACCATTGGACTTAATTATACTGGGTCCAAAAGAGTCGCTGGAGTTGATCTTATAAAACATATCCGTTGGCCAAGATCTAAATTAATGAGATTTTCTTGTGTATGGCATTTAAAATGGAGACCTTAACAGGATTACATTTTTTACGTATTATACTGTCTATGTCGACGGTTCTTGTAAATGAAATGAAAATAGGATTTAATGGCCTAATGAAGATGAACTTACGCAATACAGTACGTGTTCCTTGAAAGAATTTTGCCCAGACAGTGGCACTATGCGGCCTACTGTTATTTAGAATTACAACTGTCAAGGATTGATTTACGTGCAGGGTACTGTTCCTTACCAGAAAAATTCGCGACTAAAATCGTGCCAGCGTCATATTTACTGAGTCACCACAGCTCCTACATATATAAAGAATCAAGTCACAATGGTGTGTGGTAGGGATGACCTAGTGGTCTAGAGTGTCGCGCTTCGAGCTTTAGCTGACCGGTCACCTCGTCGTTTCAATCCCTGGAGTGTTCGTATATATGTAGCGTGGAGATAGAGGCGCCGTCTCAACCTCGTGCGTTAAGTATAATAAAAAAAGACAACTTATCTGCGATATCACCATCAGTGGAAGCGGACGTTAAAAGAAGAAAAAGTCATAATGCTATTGATTAAGAAGACGATATGACGCCGCCTACTGCATGCATACCGTTTGAGCGGGGGAGAAATCTAACAATTCCTCTTAATGATTGCTCTCTTAGAATTGGTCACGCGTAGATCCAGTCAAACATCTCCAAGCGATTAATGACGGTGGGTCTATAGGATAATATTATAGTAGTTGGCTGTTTCAGAACAACTATAATCCCCGACCACCAATGAACATGTGTACGCGGTTTGTTTTACGTATTTAAGCCAGTCGTCTGTATCTAATGTGATTTGTCCGCGATGTCATTCTGAATAGAAGCGGACGTTAAGTCCAAATGGACTTTATTTAAAGGGTTCTTATATCTGGAAACAACCCAAGATTTTGTTTGTGACGGGAAAAGTGTTTTTGCAAACACATTCTTTTACCTCTTGTAAGAATCGGGGAAAAAAAGATTCAGATATAACCGAATTTCTTTTTTCTCACCAAACCAAAAACCATAACTCATGTGAAACCATGCGGGTCGATTAAATTGTAGTGATAAAAAGTTAATCGATTATTCCGAACCAGAAAAACTTTTCTAGGTGTTTTATGCTAATTTAAGGAACATAAAGAGTGTAGTGTGTGCGATTATGGGCACTACGTTTCAAGTCACGTGTCAAGTAGGGTGGACGTAGATTTCATGCTGTTAAAACTCTGTCAATTATAGTCCGTCACTCAATCTTGGATTAACTATTGTTCCTGTTAGAGAGCGTTAGAAATGGTGGTGGCGATCACAGATTTTATTTTTTATTTAATAAGGTAAGACTTCCTTAGTTTATTAGATTTGGGAGCTCTTTAGAACATCGGGTCTGTTTCGGTCATCTCTTCAACATCGTGGGTTTTCTCCGAGTCATTTGTTTCCTCCCATTGCTATTGTAGGCTACCATAGCTTAGTCCCGAAATGCTCCAACTAATCTCTCTCTCTCAGGCGCAGAATGGAGATGGCGTCGTTAGGGTTGAGAATAGTATAATTGTCATGTTATAGAGGTAACACCACGTTTCACATTTTTCAATCGTATCAATTGAATAATAAAAGATACTCATCATAATACCAATAATACTAAGTGAGTAGAACGCTGGCTCGCGAGTTCTCTCTCGAAGTTGGCCGAGAAAGGTCATCGGAATTTTCCGGCATAGTCCCCCCTTGTCAGTGGTACAGGACGGAGGGCCTGACAAGGATAGCTATCTAGTCGTTCGGATGGGACGAACAACCGGGGTCCTGTGTACACATTGGCGTTCTCGTAAAAGTTCCCTAAGCAGTCGGTGTTCGATATAAGAGTAGGCCGTAGCACCGATGTCCGGGCAAAATCTCCCTCTTCATTAACCAAGTAGGAACAGAACAGTAGGACGTTAAACACCATTTCACTTTCCATTAATACTAATATTTTCGAGACCAGTAACGTACAGAGGTTTTTGTCGGCGTTGTATAGGACAGGTGTATGGCCTAATACTGTGAAATGTTGGAAAGAAAAACAATTTAAATACCCAAAATAGGTGAAATAAACCTTTTATCCAAATTTAATTTTAAAAACACCACCCATATTAATCAGGATCGGTGACACAAATAAGATCTCCTGTCAAAAAAACACTAGACGTATTTCATTTTTTACTGGTTGTGTACTTTGGTTGCGCTTACTAAAACATAGATCCACGCCGACTTGTTGGAGAGGAATTGAGAGAAATGGGGTTTAACGTCCACTATGCACAAACTAGGTCTTATCCGGAATAACGTATTGTACAATTTTATTTCAATAATTCGCTTGCGCTTATGGGTCTTTAGCAGTCGGATGAAACCAGAGGACCCGAGAAGAGCCACGAGATTGGGCAGCCGACCCTTTTCCTTGTCACGTACATACATTGGTTCGAAATCACGCCACGTGACTCAATGACAGAAGAAACTGGAGGACCAGGAGAAAACCCACGAGGTGACCCTATTCCTTGTTAAGTACAGGCGTTGGTTCGAAACAACGCCACTTGACTCAGTGGCAGACATTTTGGACTAGATCATGTCGACCCTTCTATTCCGTACCTTAGCGGTTGACATTTTCTAACTAGTCCCCTATCGCACAAATGGAGCCGTCATTTATATTCAGTAGGGCCATTAATGGTTTTTCGATTTGTTTTTAATATCTTTCTGTTATTAGTTTTATTGTAGTGACCTATGCCAATAATAAAAGCGATGATACGACAGCCTTGTTAGACAGAATATTACAAGGATATGATAAACGTTTAAGACCAGGATTCGGGGGTATGTATAACTATTCAAAGTGACGTTATGCAAATTAAGTTTTGAAAGTGGCGTTATGCAAATTAAGTTTTGAAAATTAAGTTTTGAAAGTGGCTTTATGCAAATTAAGTTTTGAAAGTGGCATTATGCAAATTAAGTTTTGAAAGTGGCATTATACAAATTAAATTTGTTTGGTTAGTGCAGGTAAAAGATCCCTTGACAGTTAGAATTCGATCTAAGAGTAGGCCGTCTATATAAGCCGTAGCACCGCTCTCCTCGGAAAAATATCCTCATAGCACACTGTATGGCGTAAGCCAGTCTAAGAGCAGAACAGTAGGAAGCCAAACCCACATTGGAGTGCCCGTAAAAGATCCCTTGACAGTTAGAATTCGACCTAAGAGTAGGCCGTGTAAGCCGTAGTTCCGCTGTCCGCTGAAAAATTCTCTCATAGCACACTGTATGGTGTATGCCAGTCTAAGAGCAGAACAGTAGGACGCCAAACCCCATTTATTTAATTTCATTTCGTTTGGTTAGTTTCCTTATTCCAAAGACTGGTAACTTTAAATTCATACAATTCAAAACATACCCCAATGTACTGTTTTTCGTCTTCTGTGGGTCTCCTGGGGGATGTTCCAGACTGGTGTCTGTCTTTGCATTGGTGTATGTCTACGCGTTCTGGCGGAACTTAAAGTATAGAGGTCCACATGTTTTGGGGACCTAGCAAGGATTAAGCGACGTGTAGTTCAGGTGACAAGAAAAACCGAGTTTCATCCGTGTGCGCGATGAGAATTAGATTAGAATAAGACGGAAACGCCAATGTCCGAGCAAAATAGCGGGGTTGGATGGCCGAGTGGTTAGCGCCTGAGATAGCGGGGTTGGATGGCCGAGTGGTTAGCGCCTGAGCGTAGTATCATAAGGCCTGTCATTGAGTCGATTGGCGTGGTTTCGATTCCCTGGTTGGACGTGACAAGAAGTGGGGTCGCCTGTCCAACCCCGTGGGTTTTCTCCGGGTCCTCCGGTTTCCTCCCACTGCTAAAGACCCCTACGCACGAGCCAATTATTGAAATAAAAATTGAACTATACATTAGTCCCGAAATGACCTAGTTTGTGTCGAGTGGACGTTAAGCCCCATTTCTCTCTCTTCTTTACGGGCCAAATTTCACTCAAAGTACTGGTGAAATTACAATGGATTCGATAACTTTGTGTACAAAGGGAAACATAATTAATGAATTAAGTGGGGTTTAATGTCCTAAAATCTGCACCAATTGGGTTAACGAAGACGGGGCATAGTGTGCTATGAAGGAAATATTTCCTGGACAGCAACTGAATTCCAACTGCCAAGGGATATTTTACGTGCACACGAACGTGCACACAGGGTCTTGGTTTTTCGTCCTATCCTAACGACTAGACACTGTACAAGGTACATCATATAGTCGTTTGGATATAAGGACTCCCGCGGTCCAGTGTGCACATATTCGCGTAAGTACCGCTGTCCGAGCAAAGTGTCCCCACAGCACACTGTATGGCGTAGCCCGTCTGTATTAGCCCAATCGGAGTAGAACACTAGGACGTTAAACCCCATTTTATATCATTTCATAATACTTGAAGAGCGTCATCAATAAACAATGAATAATATCCTTAATTACCACTTCATAGAGAAGACATATTGCTTAACCACACGGAACAATTGATCAATACAATGAGTAGTTTAGAACTTTTATAGCTATCCTGGAATTAGAAACCAATATTTTAATAGTTATCCTAATGTTGGTTTCTGACGGACATATCATCACCTCCATTCCCAGACAGGATTAAATAGCATGATTTATGTTCTAACTTTCCTTGTTTAGACCTTCCGTTAAAGTAGCTAAGTCTCTAACTCAATATCGACATTCAAAAGACGGGTTATTTGTCAATGTAACATTGATGTTGTGATCTTGCCGGGAAAAGATGGGCTTCTGATATCCAATATTTAAGACAAAATAAACATTTTACCATTGGTACACGAATTGTGTACCATAATGCGTTTCAGCGCCATTTGTAACAAGGGACTCGAAAAACGAGGCTAGACATATTCCTCAAGTCATGTCAAACGGTGGCCTCATATTCTTATCTGGAGAGCATGTGCAATAAATACTTTCGATGTAAACTGTAATAACCAGATGCTAGAGATTGACATTCGATTGAGACTGACGTACTTCGCCGAACATAGCTGATTTGAAATTAAGAGTAAAAACGGAAACGCTTTAATGTAAATCAGTTTATATATATTCATATTACAATATTATATGCGTTGCGACCCATTTTGTGTCCATTTCTAGGTCCCAAATATTAGCGATTTAGCTCCTTTAATTTAAGTTTCTATAACTACATACTGTTGGTTCATAGAGACCATTAAGCTGGTAACGGTTAATGCATCATAAAAGCTATATATGTATCCAGCACTCGTCTGGACAATTTTCTTAATGTCATTAAGTCTGCGAAAATCTGCTAGATTCATTTGCTAGTAGAACATTTATGAGGAATTGGTTAGCCGTGTGTCATGTCAGAACCCGGGTCGCGCCGTCTCAATAAGTCCATATCGAATTGTAGGCGTCTAGTCTAATATCAAATCACTTGTACATAAAGTTGTCATAGTATCTTTAATTCGAACTTAGCTCTTCTAACACATCTAAGTAATGCACAAATAATTTACCTGGTCGAAATCCGTAAATAGGTTTAATATTCTGTTGAAGCAACGATAATTATATTTTAAATTTATTATCATATGACGGAGTCTGTCTAGTCGCGTTTTTGATCATATCTATATAAATCTCGCATGCTACATTAAAGTTGGGTTTACAAATGTATCAAGAATGAATTAACCCTAATCCCCTACAAATTAATATAAAAGCCCGTCTAGTCTCAAGGGTAAATATTTATTGTGAAAATTGTGTCTATATGGTCGTATATTTATATTTTCAGGTCTTCCGACAACTGTTAAGACAGATATTATGGTAAGATCGATGGGGCCTATATCTGAAAAGAAAATGGTAGGTATTCAACCTCATATTTGAATATTCTTAATATAAACAATGTAAAGGTAGTTAGCTCCATATATAAACCAACCCCATAATGATGGTTATACCCCATAATGAAGGTTATACCCCATAATGAAGGATATTTCTAATATATTAAATATTTCTAATATAAACCATGAAGGGTATTTAACCCCATATTAAATATTTCTAATACAAACAATGAACGGTATTTAACCTCATATTAAATATTTCTAATATAAACAACGAAGGTTATTTAACCCAATATTAAATATTTCTAATATAAACAATAAATGGGAATTTAACCCCATATTAAATATTTCTAATATAAACAATAAATGGGAATTTAACCTCATATTAAATATTTCTAATATAAACAATTAATAGGATTTAACCCCATATTAAATATGTCTAATATAAACAATGAAGGGTATTTAGCCCCATATTAAATATGTCTAATATAAACAATGGAGGGTATTTAGCCCCATATTAAATATTTCTAATTTAACCAATGAAGGCTATTTAACCCCATATTAAATAATCTAAACAATGAAAAGTATTTAACACCATATTATTGGATACCATGAAGGCTATTTAACACCCCATATTGCATATCAATGATATTCAAACCACGAAAGTCAACCACGGGCATTTTGTTATGCAATATGAAATCTGTTTTACATATAGAAGTTCCCTTCGTGATCGCTGACACGCGAACATTGTTGAAAAACATAAAATTGGTAGTTCATATATACGCTGACAAATGAAATTCAAGTAGCTTAGAGACGCTAAAAATCCATCTGCTTTTAATGAGTGCGAATCCCAAATGATCTTATTCACAATTGATACCCAAACCAAACATATAATTTTGTTAGAACAATGGCGTGTCTATTCCGAATTTACATTTCCCTTTGTACCATAAAGGTCATTGTCTGTAGAGCTACAGACCTAGATTAACTTTTTTAAACATAAATAAAATCGGCTTTAAATCATTTAAAGGAGAATGACAAACCTTTCCATTTGTATCATTGTGTGTAGAATAACAGTCCTAGATTATATTTTAAACACAACTAACCTCAGAATAAAACATTGAAACGAGAATGGTCGTCAATCATAAAGGATTTTTTTTCTGTAGAACTATAATCCAAGATTATATTATTTACTAATCCTGGCTTAAGTCATTTAAAGGAGCATGGTGGTCTGTTCCATATTCAAGAGCACTAAATCATATTACGAACTACTCGAATAAAACCATTTTGAAATAATAAGCATCAGCCGGAATTCGTGAAAGTACCGTATGCTGTGGGCGTTCCGTTTTAATATGTGACTCTCATTTAAGCAGTAGGCAGTCGACATAAGACATGGCCGCATTCTTTTATTTACCGGCGCGCACACGCTCGTCTATAAAACGCTATAGACCACCGGTAAGGGATTTGTCAACAATATCGCCCTTGATGGAAGTGGACGTAGACCTCAGAAACGAACGAACGAACGGTAAGGGCTGACTTAATGTCAAAAATTTCATTGGTCGACGTCCTAATTAACCGACCAATTACAATCGATAAATAAAGTTACTCCTTACTTATGTTCTAGAGATTAATATAATTCTAATGGCGCTTGCAAACAACTAGTTAAGATGAACCTTAGAGAGTAAGGATCCATCTTTACGATAATTATTGAAATAAAATTGCACAATGTATTAGTTCGAAAAAGACTTATTAGCTCGCTCTATTTTTAGAATATAGAATTTACTGAACTTCTCCTTTAATCACCCATCAGACAATGATTTATCTAATTGTGACGTAGATCACATTCCATCGCCATCCCTTCCTTCCAAGGGTCACAAATAGTCAATTAAAAGTGGTTTCGTTATCGTTAGGGAATTATCAAATGTCATTCCTTAATCGCTTGTTCTTTCGTGTTTGTAACACGAGTGGCTTGTATCAAATAGTTCGAGATAAACCAGTGTAGATGATGTGTAAAACACTTATGGGTAAATTGGCTTTCAGACACTACTGAGTAAAGCTCCAGACTAATGGTTAAGAAAGATTTTGGTTGAGCCATGTAATTAGTCCATGTTTGTATCGTGTATCTGGTTCTTTGCGACATGTCTGTCAATATTAACACGGGAACCGCGGTGGTCGTTCAGTTTCACCACACTGCTTAAGACATCTACGCACAAGAAGTGTGTAACATATATGTTAGTCCAGAAATGGTCTAGTTTATGTTGAGGATTCTCTCTCTCTCTCTCAAAGTACAGATACACAGAGGGCCACCTGGGTGTACTTTGGCGTGCATGTGAAACAACGCCTAACAGGAAAACTATATCGCGCTACTGAACACCATTCCAGGTAATTTAACACCTGTATTTGATGGCTATTAACATTTATATTATAAAGATCAAATATACTCAGAAGAGCAAGATGTTCTTATGTTTTAGATATTTATGTCAAACACTGTGTTTGCAGCTGTAGGGCATTGATGTCTATATGTCAGTGGTGCAGGACGGAGATATTACCTCTTTCCTATATGACAGAAAATATATACAAAAAGACTATATAAACATGTTATGATAAAATCAATCTAAATAGTATAAGAATAAATTGAACAAAAAAAATGGGGTGGGGGTTATGTACATATTTACAATTTCAGGTTTGCCATATTCATATATTTAGCTACAGGATAATTTTTTTATTTAAACCTTCCGGAGATGTCTAGCAATCTATGGACTTGTTCAAAGATAATACTTGAAATAATAATATCGTCAGTGCCTTTTAATAATGTCTGTATTGAAATCAGAGGACAGATTAAAAGGTAATGTTCGGTATCTTCAAAATCATGACCGCAAGCGCATACAGGGCTGTCTGAGATGTGCTTTAAGACCATTTAAGTCACTACTGATTTTTTCTTTTTCCCGAACTAAAGTATGATGGCGTTTGTGTGTCAAATTGTTTTAAATTTACTTTTAAATATACTGATAGAGGGATTTGATTTTATAAAGTCGGTTCCATTCCTTAATCGTAGATGGTATATATGATTTCGAAAATAAAGATGTTCTACAAAAGTACTCTACAAATTAGATTTGTTACGAAGGTTATAAGGCTTTTCCGGGAATAATATCAGTTCATGAAGATAAGGTGGAGTAAGATGATTCATAATTTTGTAAAAGAGTATAAGTTTATGACGCCTTCGCCTCTCCTGCAGTGTGATAAAACCAGTTTCCTCGTATAAAAGTCTATGGCTGGTCCCACTAACAGCACCACATATAGTCCTGAGTGCGTCAAGTTGCAATGATTCTAGTTTGTTAGTAAGTTCGTCGGTGCACCCATCCCATATGACATCACAATAGTCGGAAGAATATAGGATATGCACAATGTTTTCAAAGAATTTCTATTTAGTCTGTACTTCAGAGAGCGGAGAACGTTTACAGGCCTAGAAGTTTTCGTCAAGATATTGTCGATATGTCTATCAAATTTACAGTCATTTTGAAAAGTCAGCCCCAAATGTTTGTGCTCGAATACTTCCTTTATTGCAGTGTGATCTAGTGACAGTGTTGGCAATATTGGGTCCTTTTTAGCAGACACTGTAAGTGTTTCAGTTTTCAGTGGGTTGAAAGAGACCAGACAAGTCTTTGCCCATGTATTGATATTATCTAGGTCTTCATTAAGGACAGCCGCGCATGCAATTGGGTCATGGATTCTCAAATACAAGCTGGTATTATCTGCAAATAGAATTAAGGTTTTCAACAATATCATTTATATAAATAAGGAAGAGGAGCGGTCCGAGGACAGAGCCCTGTGGAATACCAGCAGGGACAGTCAAAGGAGAAGACGAGATACCACTGACAATCACAGATTGGCTTCTATTGGTTAAATAACATCTGAACCAGTCATGTAGACCTCCTCTTATCCCCACCGCCCCAAGCTTATGACAGAGCCCTGCGTGCCAGACCCAGTCAAAAGCCTTGCTAATATCACAGTACACTGCCCTCGTGTACTCGCCTTCATCAATGGCTTGACAAAAGAAGTGTGTAAGATCAAGTAATTGGCAAGTCGTTGATTCGCCGTGCAAAAAACCGCTTTGCAGATTAGTTATAACGGAGTGTGTCCGAAAGAAGTTAAAACATGCTTATATACACATGTTTCCAAATTTTTAGCAACTATACTCAGAAGAGAAACAGGTCTATAATTGCCACATTCCGCTGGGTCACCTTTTTTCAAAATAGCTATTACATTAGCTATTTCCAAATAGAGGGTACTGTTTTAGAAGATAAAGATAAGTTAAATAAATTACATAGTGGTACAGAAATTTCAAAGATTATAGACTTCAAAAGTTTACCATTGATTTTATCTGGTCCAATAGCTTTAGAAACATCAATAGATAGAAGCATGTCTTTAACCTCCTGAGGTGTTAGCTCAATATTGCACAGTGGAGATGGATTTTGTTTAAGAATTGAAGGTTGTGCATTGGCTGTGTCGAGCTATGATTGTTTGATAAAGAATTTGTTAAGAGTGTTTGCCTTTTCAAGGTCAGAAAACGCCGTGGCTCCATTGTTGACAATTGGGGGTAAATCGATGTTTGTGGAGTGTTCACCCTTTACATATGAATTGACAAGATGCCACCAATCTTTACTGCCAAAGTTTTTGGGATCGTTGATTCTATCGTCCAATTTTTGAAAATATTCTTTCTTACATTTCCTAATTAAGTCAATATATACGTTTCTAATGTGTCTGAAGTTTTGCCAATCATGGTCGGAATTTGATTTTACAGCACGCTTGTGAATTTTGTTTTTCTTTCTTGCAAGTTTTCTAATACTATTATTCATCCAAAATATATCACGTGGTCTAATATTTACTACTTTATTTGGAATATTTTTCTTTGCAATCTTTGTCAGATCACATGTAAAAGCAGCATAGGAAAGCTCCACGGAATCATCAACAATTGACTCCCAGTCATATGTCAAAACAAAATGTCCTTCATCTGGCGTCACTACTTTTAACAATATATTAGGTCAAATATGACGCTACAAATTAGATCACTCTTTATTTGTGTATAACTTTGAAAACCGTTTAACTACAAAAATAATACTTATCTCATAACAGTTTGAGTCATGAATGAAATGAAATGGGAATTACCGTCCCAATTTTAGGCACTAACCGGTGTACGTCATGCCCAATCTGTTTCACAGAGAATTACTAATATCTCTGTAAAATATGACTGCTTTCAACACGTGCCGTCACAGCACGCGGCGTCAATCATTGACTGAATGGCGCGTGGATTGTTTACATAAGACGTTACTGCTTCGGGCAGAATGCTGCCTTTTAGTCATTTTAATACCCATTTTATACTAAATAGGAAATAATTTTTACCTACAAATACGGCAAACGTCTTTATTTATTTTTCTAATACATCAAAAAAAATGTTTCAGAATTTAATCTATCAGTGGAAAAAAGTTAATATTTGAGACTCATTATAAGTCGCATAGATGTTATCCGTATCAGTGATTGTAGCGGCCTAGCGAATATTCACTTCTGATCAGTGTGCGTCATGCCATGTGCTATAAGGGAGTGTTTGCCCGGACTGCGGCCGTGCGGTCTTCTCTTATTTAGAATTCCAACTACCAAGGTTTCTTTTACGTGCACGCGAACGTGTACAAGGGGCCACCCGACTGACTAGACACTGTTCCATGCCCGACTCTCCATCTTTCACATGACGAAACCAGTCCGGAAAATTCCGAGGAACTTTTATCAGCGAACACCTCGACTCTATGTGTACAATATTATTATTGTCGTATGTATTGTGTTAACGGCCAACCCAATACATACGTGTTTGTTTCCCAAATTTATTAACCTAGTAGTCTGTCTACAATTCATCCACACTTAATTGAAACTAGTTTATCCTACAAATTTGTCTATTCGGCAATTTTGTACGCAACAGTGGCTATGAACTTAAATTAATACAAGATGACAGTAAACGCACTAAGACTATATAACCAAGTCAATAAAATGTGTGGATTGCTTTTAGAAAAATTTACAATGCGTCACTTAATTCCCAAAGGCTAAGACACTTGTTCACTCGTTCATTAGTTGCATCTTATATAAGGTGTTGGTGCGAATCCTTCTGAGTGCAGTTTGTAATTGCATATTACGTTAAAGAGAGAGAGAGGGGGAGAGAGAGAGAGAGAGAGAGAGACGGGGTTTAACATTCACTCGACACAAACCAGGTAATTTCGGGACTAACATATGGTTCAATTTTATTTTAATAATTCGCTTAGCAGGGTCTTTAGCAGTGGGAGGAAATGGGAGTATCCGGAGAAAACCCACGAGGTTGGACAAGAGACCCTACTCCTTGTCACGTACAACCGAGAAATCGAAACCACGCCAGTTGATTCAAGGACAGACCTAATGATACAGCGCCATCCAACCCCACTTACGTTAAAGGAACAATGGTAATGGTTTGCACTGGTGTAAAGTAGACGTGGGGGTCTAACGTACATGCTTTAGATCGGTAAGGTCTGTTACTGAGCTATAAATCGCTTAAACTTCTGAAATCCACACACTATTTAACTATAAGTATATTTATTTTACATCACCTTATACCACTTGTAATTACTTGGAAAGTTCGTCTAACATTTTTTGTTGTAATTTTATATAAATACGTCGTGGCGAATTTTCAAAAGTTATGTACCTAATGCTAGGTTTCCACTGTCGTGCGATGCGTTACGTTAGGATTGACCACGATCTGCTACGTAAAGATATGTTCGGATATGTTTCAATACGATCAACACAATTCCTACGACTGACCTCAATAATATGATAAGACCTGATAGGATCACCACGTTTACTTTACGATTAAAACCACGATTTCAATCGTTGCACGAATCGTGATAATGGGAACATAGCACAACAGCTTTTGATTGCTCTTAACATTTGGATCATATTTGAAACTGTGGGTTTCGCTCTTTTTATAATTATTGAATTACTTTTCAGCATTTATGTGCTATTACATTATATTGAAACTGTATAAATCCCATTGTCCGTCTAACCATTTCCCAACGATTTGGTCTTCATTATTTCTAGACCCTAAATTTTAGTTTGGGGTGGTCGGGCATACAACCACGCAGTTGGCCCCGGACGTCACCAAACGTTTTAATAAAACTAGGAAATATCACGAACCAAATTTTCATCATCCTAGGTCAGTGCTAATTATGTGGAGACTTATCCTCTCCCCCAAATTCTTAAACCTAACCCTGAACCTGAAATCTGAAAAGATAAATCTTTACCGTAAAGACGTTCATGGAATTGTATCACTTTAACCCTAATAAATAAAATCGGAATTTGTAAGTTGCTTATAATTCATTGCGTGCACTAGACCTTTTAACAAAGGCAATCAGTTCTACCAGTAGTTTGGTAGCAAATTTAAAGAAGTAAAACAATCATTAACTGACTATCCATTAAAAAATTTGGCGTCAGGAGAGAACGGATATCATTAAATTTTGAGATGGCTGAAACGGTAACGTAAACATCCATTTATACAATCTTAGTTTTGGCAAATTGCTCTCAATAAAATCTTGTCAACTTTCTCGAGTTTTATATCAACGAGATTCTCCAGCTCCCGGGACAATTCAAGTTCGGACATCAAATTTTTATTCTTGCTCCTTTTCAAAATGATGGGAACTATAATGAAAACTAGTCAGAAATTTTCTTGGAGCAACAAAACTCTTAATCGATTTTTGGTTATTTTCTGAAGTAAACCAGTTATTTCAAGTATTTCATTTGAGTATTGACATTATCTGGTGGTTGTTTTTTTTATTTCAAAATTGGAGAGCATCAGCAAGGCCAGAGGGCTATATATTAGTTAATCTTGGTCGTACTTGTGTTCCATGGTCCGACGATAAGAAAAACGTAATACATACTGTCAAAGCGACCGTCATTTATTCTAAGCGATTTAAATTTAAGAGAATTTTACATAACCGATCGTCATTTGATTGAATTTAAATCCCTTATTGTGAACATCGAATCTCTGAAAGAAATATTAGTCCAAAAAGTGGTTCAATTCCTTTCAGTACAAAGATACGATGAATTGAAAACTTGTCAACATTCGTCATCCCTGTCAGACGATAAACGGAATATTGCCAAAACAAGCCAGCGCCACCTAAATCTTGGATCTTGCCTAAAGTCTTTTGATGGGCCTCTTTTAACCCAATTGAATCCAAGCCATGAGTTCATCTTTCATTGATATTTTGATTTTGTATTTTCATTTTAATGTTAAGTTCTCTGTTTTGGGTACATATTTGGCCTGAATTAAGGCATGAAAATTAGATATTAAATGGCGATCGATGGCTTTAACTTTTTTTCTTCCGAAAAGAACCACAACACCAGCATGCGTGCCACATTTTGTTGCAATAAAGGCGGTTATAATCTACAAAATCGGTATATTTCCTCCTTGAAACGCACCTGTGCAGCTAATTAGCTTCATTTACACGGATTTGAATAAACACAATCGAAGTAACATATAGAGAAAGACAAGGATGGGGCTTAACGTCCACTTCACACAAACTAGTCACTTCAGAAGTAACTTGTGGGACATATTTATTCCAATAATTCGCGAGTGCGTAGGGGTCGTTAGCAGTTGGGTGGGGGCGGTGGCAGAGGACACAGAGAAAACCCTCGATGATGGGCAGGCGACCCTACTCCTTGTCTTCTCCATTGACTCATAGGACACATCCAAATAACCATCCATCCTTTCTCTTTCTATGTACACATTCGATGGATTGTTATTTGGATGAGAAATTAGAATGTCGCAGGTTCCCTTCCAATCGAGACATACTAAACTTTGGCTGTCTGTCTACAGTTAGCTCTATAGTTAGCTCCGTCTGGGAACATACACTAAGCTCTGTCATCCAGAAAAATATTCTACGACTATTAGTCTGGATGCGTTGTCAACATTTGAGAATAATAGGTCATTGGCTAGATTATCCGGTCTTTTACATTATAATAAACAAAGTCTAAGGGAGGCAACTAGTCCTTAAACAAGATGTTCACGCCCATGAAATTAATTCAAGAATGCCATTTCAAAAAATCTATTTGATTGCATGCCAGTTCAATATACAACACTCTTATTTTTTTTTATTGTAAAATTTCTCTCTTCATATCTATGTTTTTTTTTGTTTTTTTGTTTTTTTTTAAATCAATCCTAATTCGTCGTCATGATTCATGTTTGTTTATATTAATGCAAAAATTATGGGATTTATTGCGGGAAGGGGCACAACTCTTACTTGACCTGGCCAGAAGATACTGGATAATCAACCACCTTAAATAACCAAACTCAAATATTGACAACGGACCCAGGCCCGCTGTACGTTGAATGCTATGAAGCTCTGGGTGACCGAGCCTAACTAGTTGACCGATATTTTAAGTCCCAAATCGAAGGTTTTATTATACTTCGAGAATTTTGGGAAGTATTGATTCCGCGTCCATTGACTGAAATTGAATAGGTTTATTTTGTCTTTTTGTATTTGACAGGGGGGTTGGATGGCTTAGTGGTTAGCACGTGCGCGCTGTATCATTAAGTCTGTCATTGAGTCAACTGGCGTGGTTTCGAATCCCCGGTTGTACGTGACAAGGAGTAGGGTCGCCTGTCCAACCTCGTGGAATGTCTCCGGGTCCTCCCGTTTCCTCCCACTGGTAAAGACCCCTACGCGCAAGCGAATTATGGAAATAAATTGAACCATATGTTAGTCCCGAAATGACCTAGTTTGGGCGGGTGGACGTTAAATTCCATTTCTCTCTCTCTCTCTCTCTCTCTCTCTCTCTCTGTATTTGACAGATGTAAAACGGAGTAAAACCGCATTACAAAATAGTGTACTAATTTATTGGATATGGCGGCCATTCTGAGCACAGATCTATTCTCAAAGTAGATGGATCTCTGTGTGAAGAATGCCGAAGAGGTCCAGCGATTTCATTTGTACTATTCACCATTTCTCTTTCTAGATATATTCGATGGATTGCTATTTTAGACAATATTGGATTGATAAAAGATTGTCCTTTAATGCTAGTGTTGAACCCATAAATCAAGTGACGTTAAATGTTAAAATGCTGAACAAGATTTGGGCTCCAGACACGGTCTTTTTAAATGGCGGACATTCTTACGTGCATATGATTACGTCACCAAATAAATTCGTCCGCTTATCTGCTAATGGCAGCGTTTATCTCTCTCAAAGGTAACATATTTAAAGTTCCATTACATATTTACATTAAAGTTATGGATGAAACTGCTTAATGGTCCCAAATGGCAATGCTTAATCTATTTTTCAAATCATAATATAATATTAAGTATGATGGAGTCTCACACAAATTAGAAAATAAATGTAAAGCAAGCAACAATCATATTTTATCTGAACATTTCACATTTGTCAAGTGATATATTTTTCTTTGGTGACAGGCTAACAATTAAAGCAACATGCCCAATGCACCTGGAGAAATTCCCAATGGACTCGCAGAAATGCCCACTGTTTGTAGCTAGTTGTAAGTTTTCAATTTATATTTGTCAGTAGAATGTATTAAAGTAGTCGATCATCATTTCACAGATTCCCTTGTAAACGATACCATTTAGTAATTGAATGGAATATACAGTTCACAATTCTATGGAATACAATTACTGCTTATTACGCAGCGACATTGCGGCTAGCCTTCACTATATGCATTGCTTCAGTACGACTGTAGAGAAGTCTAGTCGAAACGTCGCTTAGTAATAAGCAGTAATTGTATTCCATAGAATTGTGACCTGTATATACAACTGGGATAGTTGAATCTCAACTTTGCCCCCAAACAGCAAATAGAGATCAGCAGCTATAGGAGATTTGAGGAACGAATATTTACTGTTGTTTATCCTTCATATTTTAAGATATCTAAAAATATGAATTTTAACTACACCAATTGTTCCACGGAACCTTCGGAGCGACTTCACAATCTGTTCATCAGACTATTCGAAACTCCTGAATCATTTTCGCTACACTTTGAATACAGAGAATATGAGTGGTGGACATATTCTGAGATCTGATATTTAGCCAAGACTTTTAAATGGGTTATAATAAATTATGGGGTCTGTACAAGAATATAATAATATCTCGAAAATATAATAAAATTTTCTCGAAATCCAACTAATTCAGTACCTTATTTTAATTTTAACATAAATCCCCAATAATTAAATTTAACTTAAATTTAAAAATTAGTAACCATTGTGAGCTGCTACTTATGACAACATGATTCTATATTAAAGATTATATTAATATAGTACCAATTTAAATGCTTGTTATTTCTGGTCTGAAGTTGCCTATGGTTCTAATGATGTATCGTATAAATGGCGGTATGGAGATCTGAAAGCTGTGTCTATAGCAGGTGGTATGACCATGTCACAGTTTGATCTGATTAATATAGAAGCCAGCCATTTTACAGAATTCTTTAAAGGAGGTAATATACAAACGGCGGGGATCTTGTGTTGCTATGAATTAAGAGTAGTAATTATCTCCCCTGAATTGGCTACCCAATTGATTGCAATTATTTCTTTTTCCACATTTTCCCCATTTTGCATGACACCTTTTCTTGAATTTTTGGCATAGAATTGGCATATGGGTAAGGATGTACATTGCATCGACTGTCGGTTTTGGGGGGAATATGCACCATTTAGTTGCGGAAGGATCAAGAATCAAAGGGGAAAATCATCCACCAAATGATGCCACAATCTCTGTAGATCCCCTTGACCAGGTCTAGAATTATACGAGACGGTCACCTCCCTTTAATGTTTTTATCAGATTAATTTTACAAGCTTGGCTGGGTTCTTTGTAGTTATACAGATAAAGGTCATCAGAAGGCTAAAAAAAAATGTTATATGACAGGAATCGACATGAATTTGATAGTGAAGTCAGCGCGGAGAGAAATAATGGCTCTATGGAAAATCTTTCCATAGCCACTGCAATTTTGTGGCTGATTCAGGGGAAGCAACCTCCATTATAGTAAGCGGTTGTTTCCCTTTGGTTGTTGATGACGCTGTAATTCTCCCAATTGAAAGTCGAATGTAATGATATTCATTTCAGTTCCACATTCTATCGTGTCAGTAAATTTTCACCTAAGAAGACATACTGGTTATTTTTTAATCCAAGTTTATGTACCCTGTTGTTTATTGGTTGTACTATCGTGGGTATCATTCTGGATCAACAGGGAGGCCACGGCGGACCGAATAGCGTTAGGTAAGTGTGTTGAGCTTAAAAGTAATACCCGCACCTTACTTAAACCTGACACAAAGGGGTGATTCTTTTAGGCAATTTGTAAGTGATTTTAAATTGCCCATTAATTGCTAGAATAACCTGTGTGCGTCACTGCGTGGGCAAATATCACCCTATGTTTAATATTCTGCTACAAAGAACTGCTCGTCGCATTAAAAATCGCAGTGTGTGTGCGGCAACAAGAATATTTTCGTGGAGCAAACAACGCAAGTTAAAATACCTTGCGGTCTTTCGAAAAGGTATCTCCATTTTGACTAGTCACAAGATCAGCGGTCACAACCACAGAATCGTCACCTACATATTACGTGTAACACCAACAAAATACAGCGTTTGGCAGTTGGGATTTGAAATAAGAGTAGGCGGTAGCGCCGTTGTCCCAGAAAAGGATCTCTCATAGCACACTGCATAGCGTGTGACATTCTTCATTAACCCGGATGGAGAAGAAAAGTAAAACGTTAAACTCCATTTCATTTGATGTTTTCAGGAACAACAACAGTATTGACAATGACATTTTTGGCACTGGATAGTCGAGATGATCTACCACGCGTTTCTTATAGTACAGCTCTGGATGTGTATGTTGCAATGTGTTTCCTCTTTGTGTTCGCGTCAATAGTCCAGTTTGCAGGAGTACATCATTTTACCAAATATGGAATAGCAGAAAAACAAGAAGGATTTGCAGCCAGCGATGATAGTGATGATGATAGCGAGGTAATCAGATTATATACTTCCCCGTCTTGTCCAATCATAACGAGGAGCCACGGTGGCTCAGTGAGAATAGCTCTTGGTCACTAACCAGGCGATAAAGTTGCTGTGCGTAGGGTGCCCCACCATAAATACATATCTCCAAATATCTCGACAATTACACCACAATATCACCACCAAGCCTTAAATCAGCTTCAAACTTCTATAGTCACTAAATAAACGGTCATGCTGTACTTAATAAGCTATGACCATTTAATCATCCATAAATAATACACTGAAAGATGGTTCCGAGCAAAAAATAGTTTACGTGCCCTTGTTTTGAAAGTTGTCTCGCTTAACCCGTCTACCGACCATTCTACGTTTGACTAACAGGTCGGGATAATCAAGACTACATTTTTAAGAAACATAACAGAAATCTGGAACAATAAATTGAATTTAGAAACACGCACGTTGGGCATCTCAACAATTGTTTTAGGAACCTTTTAAAAGTAAAATGAAACTACTGCTAGTATCATGTTCTTGCCCAACGCAAGTATTTCAGAGATATTATTTGTATTAAACCAAAATATACCGCTCCTAATGGTACAGTTAATGATAAAGCAATTTAAAAAATAAAACGAAAGTAATGTCTAAAGCTGCTGTAATAACCAATAAGTAAATATTACTGCTATTCAGAATCGTCAACAGTAGGTTTTTTACGGCTGTAATAGTTGATAGATGTGTAGAGAATTGCACGTGCGATGGCTATTTATAGTATCATACACTCTTCCGCTGAATGTTATCTTAGTGCGTAGTGTATGCGAGAAATCAGTTCAAGATCAGCCACTGAAGCTTGTACATTCGCCGTGTCGAGACCAACTTTCTGTACGTGGATTTTCCGGTCTGCTTATCACAGCGTCTAATGTTTCGGGTGATACGAAAACCTTGCACGTAAAATAGCCATGGAAACACATAGTTGTATCTCTAAGTTGGCCGTGGAAGTTCATGGGGTTTCTCGTTGTCAATGGGGTAACAGCGTTTAATCTTCCGTCTTCACTAGGCCGTTTGGCGCAGGAAACCCCATTTCATTTTATTTCACCATAATATACTACAATTAATTATTCTTTTATTTCAGGAAGAACGCTACATACATGAAGAACGTATAAACGTACAGCGTACAGATTCTGTTGCTAAACATGGATTTTGTTACATGTGTGTTCAGTGTTTAGGAAAATTCTTAAAATGTTTATTACATTCTAGAAATAATAAGTTCAAAAGACACGTGCGGAACGCGCTAGGACTTAACAGTGTGAGTAAAATAGACAAGGTGTCAAGAGTTCTCTTCCCCATGGCCTTTACCACATTAAATATTGTTTATTGGGTTTCGTATCTTACGCATTAAATATTCTAGTTTGTCTCTTTTACATAAAACATTTTACGTGCAGACAGTTAAAAGTCACTCTCAGATTACTCGTTTGTGAATATCTGTAATAATATGCGTTATTCAGTTTCGTAGAGAAATGATTTGCACCGGGACAATCAAATTCAAAGACTTCACCATTCGAACCAGTGGTTGTCGCCATTACACGTCACGGGATACGACCGCAAAATGGGAAAGGCACCATGACTTTAGAGAACGACCGTACCTTCCGACGTGTACAATCCCGACCAACCAGTTATATCAGATTCATCATGTCAGATTCAGCAGTTTTTGCTGGTTTCTGATAGATTTGCCGTTTCCTAGGGCGTCATAAGCCCACCATTTATATTAGATTCGTCCGGTCGGAGGTGGCCAGCAGTTTTTGCTGGTTACTGATAGATTTGCCGTTTCTTAGGGCGCCATAAGCCCACCAGTTATATCATATTCATCCGGTCGTAGGTGGCTTAAGCCAGCAGTTTTTATTGGTTTCTGATAGATTTGTCGTTTCCTAGGGCGTATAAGCCCGTCGTAACGTGTTGTAGTAAATTATCTGATCTCTGATATCTTGGGCCACCATCAGACAACCACTGAAGGAAAGTTGAATATTGTCCTTTCTCTCTATCGTTGTTGTATCTCCTTAGTCTCAAATTTACCCAAGAAAAGAAAAGTTTTGACGGGTCATTTCGTTCATATCATCGTAGTGGACCAATTGCTGTTAGATCTTATTATTTGACTATGTACAGGTATGTTAATTACGAGATCCGCAGTGGTTCAGTGAGTAAGACACCGGCTCACTAAACAGGTTGTCTCAGGTTCGCTTCCGGTGTTGTCCGAGAGATTTTATTGGGACTTTTAGGCGGGGTTCCCCCCTTGTCATTGGTGCAGTGTCTTGTCGTTCGGATGGAACGAAAAAACAAGGATTCGTGTACACTTGGCGTGCACGTAAAAAAGTCCGTGATCGTTGAAATTCAGAATAAGAGTAGTCTGTCCGGGCAAACTGTTACAGCACACTATACGGCGTATGTATATATGTTGCCATTAGCCTAGTCAGTACAGACCAGTAGGACGTTAAACCCCATTTCATTTCACGTGTTCATTACATTATGTGTATATGATATGCATATTATTTAACTGAATATGTAATGACCAGCCTAATTTTTAAAACATCGAATAAAAGGTATACCAGATGTCGTGTATGTTTACTTGTAATTATTAAATATTGAAATATATTGATAGATAGCAGAAGGGGCAATTTTATTTGCCTAGGATGTGTTGCATTGAGCCCCATCGCTAACGTTTGATACGACAATTTATCAACTTACGAGCTGTTTAATTAATTAGCCATTGTGATAACGCCATAAAAAATATATTTTGAAATAAGGACAGATGTACATTTCAGAAAGCACACATTTTAAATTTTAGTTACCCAATCCGCAGCGAATTAACTGAAGGTTAAACTCAAATGCCTTAATTAGAATACCAAAAATTAAATGAAGATTCTTAGTATTTTTACACAGCTTTAGGAAATCGTATATCAGTCTATTCAGCACACGCTGTATTCTATAGGTTCGTGGTTCTTTAATAGCAGAGGAGAATGATCCTTTAGATTATGACACAAGCATGAAATTTTGCAAACTGGCTCCCCCTGGGTTAACTTGGTTAAACATTGCGCTAGTCGAAAATTCAAGATGGCTGCATTGTCATATCGCAAACGATAGGAAAACTATAAAACTAAACATTCAATAAAAACAAAAAGTTTAAGCATTCGCTACAAGGCGGCCATCTTGCAAAATGGTGACCATCTTTAATTTACCGTTATTTTGGAATCGTCTAATTGTAAACATTTATTGACCAAGATACATACAAACCCATAACATGCTATAAACGCACTAATTGTTATTGATAATTATATAGAAAAGTACAAGGCGATTAAGTTACCTATGTCATGGAAATAAATGGAATATTTATGTTTGTATCGTCAAAAACAGATTGATCAATGATATTTCACAATGATGTCTGTTGAAGATACATTATATAAGATTCAGATAAAGAGCTGTGGTCGTATACAAAAATACGCATTGAAACATCAATATTAAAGATTACAGTCAAATGACTTTATACGGGACTAAGTTATGAGCGTTTGAAGTACCATTGCTTCGATTATCCATTTTAACCTTAAATTATAAAATGGCCTAAGCGTTCTATTTCATTTAATATCACCAACCACACCGCCTCTCCCTCAACAATCAAACAATATTCAACAACCAGAGAGAAAACACTGTTCCCTCGAGATCCTGTGTTACTGATTGATAATAATAACTAGTGGGTGGGTTATACACAATCAATATAGACATAATACAAGATAATTCATATTATTTGGGATGCGCGGATACAGAGTTATTTTGTATTTCGTTTAAATATAATTAAAGTAGCCAAGTCTTTAACTCAGTATCATCCACAATCTTCGACATTGCAAACACGACTTATGTTGTTATCTTACCGTGAAAAGATGGGTTTCTGGTATCTAATATTTAAGACACAATGAAAATTTTGAACTTGGCACATGAATCGCGTACCAGAATGCTTTCTAGCGCCATTTGTTATGATGCAGTGACTGGATGAACGAGGCTAAACATATCTCACAAGGGAAGACTGTCGGACTAGACTAGAATATTCAGACGTCAAAGACTGCCATTCAATTTGCACTCTTCGAGAATTTCACCCAACACAACTGATTAGAAATTACAGTAAAAACAGAAACGAGTTTATATACATATATATATTCATTTGTGTCCATTTCTAGGTGCCAAAAAATCGCCATTTATCTACTTTAATATTTACAATTTTAGTTTTGTTTTCCAAAAAAAAAATAGAATGCTGTTCACATAAAAAGATATCGGATAAAAAATAACACGCATTGTACATGTAGTGATATTTAGTATATCACATATACTATACTATTCAAAAAAAGTAGGGGATATTTGATTTTTAAGTGTTATTAAAGTCACCTAATGAAACTGACGAAGAAACAAATGACAAAATGAAATGAAGTTCACATTCATCGATTTATTCCAAATGATCGTTAGACTAAGTAAGGCACAGACTGACCATTATAAGGGTAAAATGATACCCGGGGTCAAACAGCAAAGTTACCACAGCATCACAACCAAGTCAGTAACGGGTAAATCCTCCTCTGTTTGCCAAACAAGCATTGATCCGACGTGGCATACTCCTAATGAGACGTCTATGGTCATTTTGGTCCAGATTGTCCCATTCCTGTTGCAACGCAGCAGCAAGTTCTTGGACATTGGCAGGACGTTGTTGACGTTGACGTAACCTCTGTCCAAGCATGTCCCAGACATGCTCGATGGGGGAGAGGTCGGGACTCAGTGCTGGCCAAGGTAATGTGGTGATGTTCTGTTGTTGGAGGTAACCTGTAACGATTCTGGCCCTGTGACATCTTGCGTTGTCATCCTGGAAGATGAAACGGCGGCCATGACGTCGTGCGAACGGCACAACATGGACTGCCAAGATGTTGTCCCGGTAGTACTGGCCTGTAACACGCCCTGCAACAACATGTAAAGCCGTTCTTCCAGCCTCCCCACACCATAACAGAACCACCCCCAAATCGATCATGTCTGATGACGTTAACGTCTTGGAAGCGCTGGTTTCGACGACGCCACACCCTCCTACGTCTGTCCAAAAAATCAACAGTGAACCTTGACTCATCTGAAAACATCACATTGCTCCAGCGTCGATTATCCCAGTGTTGACGATCCCTACACCAACGACGTCTTACCTGAATGTGATAATCTCTCAAACAAGGGATCACGCGAGGACGTCGGGCGCGAAGGTGACCCCTATGCAGTCGATTCCGAATCGTCTGGCCACTCACTCTCACACCAGTGTCTGTTTGAAGACGAGCGCTGATCTGATTTGCTGTGAAGACACGATTTCTCAAGGCCAAGGTACGGATAAATCGATCCTGGGCTTGAGTTGTCGCCCTTGGTCGACCTGAGCGTGGTCTGTCCTGTACAGATTGTGTATCACGGTATCTGGACCATAGCCTGCTTATGACAGACTGAGAAACATTCATCGTCCGCGCCACAACCGCCTGTGTTGTGCCGATCTGTAGCATGCCAAGGGCACGTAACCTTTCATTTTGGGTAAGCCGACGCATATCAAAATTTGTTTTCTGGTCACTAAAACAATTAAACTGATGTTTCCACCCTGGAATTCAATGCCACAATGACTGTAACATTCAAAGTCAGAGTCGTGCAAATCTTGGGTTGGACCCCCATGATGATCCCAAGCATCACCTGCATTCCATGCGGTAGCTATTGGTGCGTTTGGGCGTCACATGTAACTGGAAATGTTTCTTCTGTTAGGTTCTATAGTGACTTTTTTCGTAGTCATTTGCATATTTTAGTATTATGCCCCCAAAATCAAATATCCCCTACTTTTTTTGAATAGTATAATTATATTTAGTAAATTACTCGATATGTCGATCTTGAATGAAAACTGGCACATTGGCGTAAGCAATTGAGTTCGATATTTATTATTTTTATTCACTTTCACAAAATTATATAATATATGCATATTATAATAAAAAGACAGTTCCAAGATACTGGTATTAACCCGAGGTACTTTTATGGGATTGAAGACTGTTAATCGAAAACGATATATGTTGAAATATTACAAATCAGAGTTTAGTTGTGATCTGAAACTCGGCTGGAACTGCCAAAGCCAAGGAAGAACGAACCGGGATGTTGTTCTGTACTAGGAACATGGCGCCGTGTTGGTTCCTGAAAGGCATGAAGTGTTCCCGAATGATTCTGTCCGAACAATCGTCGATAGTGCGTGCAGACGGTCGGTGCATTTTGTCCAATTGTCAAAACTGCTAAATTGCCTCATTTTGATCGCGATTGAAGGCTTCGTTAGAAATAACAAGTGTACGTCCTGATTTACTGGAACGAAATTAAATTTATTCTATCTAATTATAAGACAACACGTGGTGCAGGTGTCACGAGTTGGCCATATAACGTGGGTATTCCCACGACATTGTATTCCTACGCTCATTAAAACATTTGTGATGTTGGTGGTTGATGTGCTCCTACTTATAGCTAGTCGTATAATCGCAGCAAGTTCCCAAAATAAGTCTTATTTCTGACAACGATAACTCAGCTCAGAATGAAATAAATTGACTGGAATTTTAAACATATTCCCTTTTCGTTATCTATTGATTAACTATTATAGTGAGAACTGTCAGCTACATAATGCATATTTATCTAGAAGATGCATGAATAATTAACTTTTTTTTTCAGAGAAAAGACCATTTACTATGGCGACTGATTGGTATAATGTCGGGATATCGCCTTTCATAAGGCGACAACTCGACATCACGACATTTTAACCCAACATCACGACAACACGACATTTTAACCCGACAATACGACATTAAAAGTTTCATAATGTCGCGCAAAAATGTCGTATTGTCGGGTTAAAATGTCGGGTTGTCGCCTTATGAAGAGCGACATCATGACATCACGACATAATACCAATCAGCCACCATAATTTACTTTTTCTATGGTCTAATCGACTGATTGTATATTTGTAAATTTACCCTCGAAACCAAACGTGTACACCATAACTAAATTAATTATATGTTCATCATTAAGTGTTAATTGATTACGAAAATACAAGTAAAAACTGTGAGCAATGTAAACTTTCTAAACAAATACGTCAAATTGATTCACTTAGTATGTTTATTTACTATATGAATGAGAGAAACTCATTTACTGTTAGTAATAATTCTTGTAAATAGCCATATACCAAGGCCAAACCAACTGAATGTTTAGTTTAGTCACCAAATTCAAATGAAACATGTTTTGTTTAGAATTTTAAAACTTGAAAATGTGATTTTAAAACTTTTTGGAAAAAGCAACCCAAATATTTGTGGGTTTTAAATCAGCCTTTGTCCGCAAGAAGAAGTAGGGAATGAAATAAAATGAAATGAAATGAGGTTTAACATCCTACTTTTCTGCTCCGACTGGGCTAACGAAAACGGGCATACGCCATGCAGTGTGCTTTGAGGGACATTTTTTCTTGGACAGCGGCGTTATGGCCTACTCTTATTTCGAATTCCAATTGCCAAGGGATCTTGGTTTTTCCTCTTGTCCATGACAGGCCCTCTGTTCTGTCCCACTGACACGGGGGAACACCGCCGGAAAGTTTCGATGAACTTGCTCGGTCAATCGAATATTGGGCTTCCAGGTTAGCCAGCCAGCGTCTTACTCACAAGACCTAGGACATAAACTTGTAATCGCTGTTCCCGAAGAACGAAGGTTTAAATTGATGCGGCCGAAAATTTAGCACAATGACGTTATCCCCTAGAGATAATAATATGATTAATTGATTAATTAATGTATAAAATGACGAAACCATCTAATAGCCTTGATGAGTTAAAATGTAGAGTAACAGTTTATTGCCAGTAATCACTTTTATTCACTTATTGATAATTTATAAACGAAAAAAAGGATAGCTTTTATTAGATTATTGAAGTTGTATAAACAAAATGGATATGCTTTATCTTTTGAAAGGGCAGATGCGTGGAAACGACTAGATTGTCTTGTTTTGTTTATCAGTGGTTAAATGATGTCATTAAATACGCGCATTATTATTCACTGGCACAGGTTCTTGACTTTTGGACAATTCCCAATTATATGAATTGGGGTATTTGGACAATTCCCAATGATATGAATTGGGGTATTTGCGTGGCGAGGTGGACACCTTGTGTTAAAGAAGCCAAGTCTCTAACTCAATATCATCCAAAATCTTCAACATTGAAAACACAAATTATTTGCCAATTTAAATCAACATTGATGCTGTGATCTTACCGGACAAAGATGGGCTTCTGATATCCAATATTTAAGACAAAATAAACATTTTAAAATTGGAACACGAATCGTGTACCATAATGCGTTTCAGCCCCAGTTCTAGCAAGAGACTCGAGGAACGAGGCTATATAGACATATTGCACCAAACCAAACGGCGTATGTAGACTAGAATAACCAGGCGCTAGAAATTTGCATTCGATTGAGACTGCTGGCTTATTTCGCGGAAAATAACTGATTTGAAATTAGAGTAAAAACGGAAACCATTGAATGTATATCAGTTTATATACATTCATATTACAGTATTATATGAGTTCCGACCCACTTGTGTCAATTTCTAGGTCCCAAATGTTAGCGATTTAGCTCCTTTAAGCTCGTTTTCGCCGGTTACATGGAAACGGTCCTGTTATATTTCCATTGGACCGACCTTTTCGTCAGCGGAAAAAAACGCAGTGTTTACATTGTCGAGTGTTTGTATTTCCATGTGTACAGAAAGGTTACGTCACAAGTGATGATTTCTCTTTACTACATGAAGCCTGACATTGTTTATCCTCAGTCGCCGTCTTTTTATAATAACACTGTGTCTAAAACGTCGACCATTTGCTAGCTGAATTTGCAGTAACATAAGTGGTAGTGAACCTGCGTTTGTAAATATCTGCATGGAGGCGCATGTGCACACTTTATGCGAGAAAAAAACACTGCGAAAAAGCCTCACTTAAATCGCGCAACTTTTCCTGTTTTCGCGCAGCGCGGAAACGGTTACATAGAAACGGTCTCGTTACCTCTGCATTAGATCGACTATTTTGTGGGCCTTAGATAGAAACAAACCTGGATCGTCCGATGTTCTTTAATTTAAAATCCATCCCTTGATGATAACAAATACCAACATGCTCTTACACAAAACAATGACTTTGAAATACAACACAAAACATTATTTTAAGGTCAGATTCAATTGGTCCACGGCCCTATCAAATCCCGACGTACTTTCGCGACCAACACCGGGATCGACGAAAAGGCGACCCTCAGACTAGCGAGGCAGCGTCTTACTCACTTAGCCACCGTAGCTAACCCAAAGTTAAAAGAGCCCTAATGGACGAATCAGCTAAGATATACGTTGGAATTGTTTAAATCACTGTTTAGGTTGGGTGAGACCAGATCAGAGGTCACCACCTTTCATTATATTATTAAAAACTCTAAGGTATCAATGGCGTTACATCTAAATATTAATACAAAATTTTTCAAATAGAGATTAAAAACATGAGAAATATTTTTGGGTTGTTATGGGTCGATTGTCACAATTTTACACCCAGCAAAGGAAAAAAAAGTTGTATGTCCTGTCCTTTGATTTCCCTGAGAATTTTCTTATTTTGCTGCTTTATGGTTAATCAACAAAAAACCACACAAACCCTCGAACATCAGTGACATTCGTTCTTTTCTAGATCGATCAAAACTGTTAAATGTTAAATTTAAAAAATGTCTGAGATTTATAGGTAAACCCAAACCATACCCTACTGCTCTCTTAGGGTATATCTGGAATTATTCTCTTTTTATCCATTCGCAGGCTTTAAATCAATTTTGGTAACCTCATTGTTAGATTTGCCACAAAGTTTGCGAAAAAGAAGAAGGACCACCATTATTAAGAATTCGCCAATTTCTCCAATTGTAAGAATACTGGCGCCCATCCAGAGTCCCATATGACCACCAAGACTACCTGTGAACAAACCATAAATACGATTAATAGATTAGTATTTAATCTAATTATGTTTTTAAATGTTCAAAAATAATGCAAAATTACGGTTTATAATAACAAAACTTGATTCAAAATTTAATACTGCTGTTTTGGTAATAAATAAAATAATGCAAAAGTTGAGATTGCTCCTATGAAGTAAGCACACCTGACTTTACCCGCAAGGCCGTTTTCAGGTAAATGCAAACAGTATTTCTGTGCAGGATACCACATAGATATAGATTATTGATCCATAAAGTACTTTACTTCAAATTAAACATCATAATTATACGAATATTTCATTTTTGTTTAAATTTGTATGTAAATAAAAGCTAAATTCGGGGCGGTTTGTCTAAGAGAGTCAATTTTTTACAATCAATAAATGACATAAACTAAACGACTTAAATTATATTTTGACCGACCTTTTAGAAATAAAAGTTCATGGTTGAAATCAAATATAACAGGGTTTGGACAAATAGATTAGACACATTTCAAACGCTAGCGCCAAATCATTAAGAATACCATTTGGGGTTAACAATGCCCCCACCAAGCTGTCATAAGTTATATATTTGCCACTGTAAAAGCAATCCCACAAAAATAATAAAATATTATATTGATGTGTTTGACAAAAGGGTTAAAATAAATGAAAATAATGGTAAAAAAAAATTGAATAACATATGCTGACCTAGAATGGTTTCAGGTGTGTAAACAGGGCTTTGTGCTATAACTTGTACTAAAAGGTCTTCATAATATACTCTCAGGCTTAGATAATTCTTTCTGTAAAAATAATCATAAAACATTTATTAGATAAGTTTAAAATGTTATCGAACTAAGTTTCATTTGAAATGGGTTGCTTTATTAAAGTTACATTATGTAAGATTTAGATAATAGTGTCAAAATAGATAATGAAAAATGAATGTAATGAAATATAAATTATTCTACGCTACGTTATAAGTGTTTGAGGTTTTGACAGGATGTAGCGCGGATTGTTTATTATCGTAGCAACGGTACTGGACAAAAGTTTTGATTATGCATTTAATTTTTAATACACATGGGTGTTCAAATCCATTTAAATATCAGTAATCCGATGATTAGAGGGTTGATTATAGTCTTGGAATGTGAATGAATGTCTAAATAATAGTTTATATAACAACAAACAGGGTTATCTCTTACATAACGCATCTTTGATTGTAAAAAAAACAAATAAATATACATGTACTAAATAATTTGCATGAATTCAATTTCAAATATATTACCTGACAGTTTAACAAAAATTAACTTACATATTCCCAAATCTATATTAGAATTTACCTTTCATCAACCAAATATATACTTCTAGACACCAATTATTTTCGATAACATACGTTACCTTTCATCAACCAAATATATACTTCTAGACACCAATTATTTTCGATAACCTATCAGTCTGGACATACGTTACCCAGTCTAGATATTCATTACGTTCGATCAACCGTCTTCATTAGCCCAGAACAGCAGGACGTTAAACCCCATTTCGTTTAATTTCTTTTCAAAGACCAAATCTATCCTTGTAAGCACACATTACCCATTCTAGATACATGCTGCCCATTCTAGAAACCTATTCTAGATGCTGATTGCCTTTTCAAGATACCTATTGCCCATTCTAGATATCTATTGGCCATTCTCAATAGCCATTGCCCATTCTAGGTACCCATTATCCATTCTAGATACCTATTACCGATTCTAGATACTCATTTACCCATTCCAGATACCTATTACCCATTCCAGATACCTATTACACACTAGTCTATACCCGCCGATCCAATGTGACAAGTTATTTGTTAGGTATCCCTACCTAATATAATCTGTACTGTTCAGGTTCAATTTTTCTTTCATGTAATCTAGATACAGATCAGATAGATAGGTAGTGGACGATACTTTAGTTGTATACATATCAAACGCGCATGGCATATAACAATCACAGGATTCTCTGATTGTCTGGTTCAAATATATCGCATCTGTAATTAAATAATTAAGCATAAACCATTTTTACAAAAAGTTTATAATAATACGCTGATTTTTGCTATATATTATGGCTAAGGTTGAGTACCAGCTTCCAAATATATCCAAAATACAACATCGAGACGCATTTAATGGGCAATCTGTATATTAAGTTATAAAAATATGTTATCAATTACACTTTAGATAAAATATAGCGATCAGCCTGTATGATTAAACAAACGCGTTCGTTTTTCAATAAATTGCTAAAAATGTAATCATAAATGAACAAAAGGGGGCAGCTAATTACATCCTGAAAACTCAATAAGTCTGGTATTAAAATTCATAAATTGATAATACCTTACTATAATAATACTTACAATATTCAGGCAAATAACAACTTTCTTTTAGCTTTAGAGAACAATACGGACCTGAAACTATAGGTAATAATGATTGTAGTTGAAACAATAATCGACTATGGCCAAAATAATACGTTTTTGGTAAATAAAAGAACACTTAAGACACAGGTAGATCAATTTCCTTTCGGTCTGTTCATAATTGATTTCTTTGCAGGTAGATAACTCAAAAGGACGTGATGATATCTTCAACTAATGTGTTTATTCTCTCGATTGTTTTATTATAAAAGTGAAGTGATCCCCAAGAGACTTAAAGATACAATATGTGACTTTAGATGGAGGCAGACCACCATTAATTTCCCCATTGACTTCAATGTTAATTCTGGCCTCTTTGCCCACCTCCAACTTTTCCCCAAATTTTCGTTGGGCTGAATGCTTTTCACTACAGACAGCGGAACAAATGGTCATGTCTTTGCACTAAAATTTGTATGAGGTTGACCACCAAAATTTTGAGATACACAAACTTGAAGAAGCATACTAAAAACATGTAACTAGTTGCCGTACATATCGCCGTAGCTAACCTGATAACCCTCTTATCCTTCCGCCTCAAAATCATGAATATTTACCAAAACCTGGCAGAAAATGTTAATTCAAACCCACTTCATCCATTCTAGACCAGAAAATCAACAAAAATGGATGAAATTTAATGGTGGTCTGCCTCCAGATACAGAGCTGGTAGTTCTCACTATAATAGTTAAACACTAGATAATATAAAGGGAATTTAATGAAAATGTCAGTCACATCAATCCACTCTTAACCGAGAATTTAGCGATCGAATTTTTGGCCTAGCCTCGATCATCATTACTAAAGTCGGTAAGATAAAAAAACATAGTCTCGATTATCCATTTCAGGATTAAACCATGAATTAAAGTTGAGCAGCCAATCGGATCCTAATCCAGTAAATACCGTAGAGTTGATTATGATCTGGATAAGTTAATTCCAGGCCTAGGTAATGACCTACAAATAGGCAGATTTAGCTCTTGCATAATGTATGTTTAAACAAAGCATATCTTATATACAAGGGGTATTGTAAGTTTTCACCCAAAATAAAATCAATGCGTTTCAGTCGATCAGCCAGTGGAATTAAGGATATTTAAATATGCACAACTGCGAGCATAACGTTGATGTTCGAACGCCACATAAGTAATGCGAATGCAACGATTGACAAGTCCGAATTAAATGGGCTAATTGCATGCGTAGATGGCATTGATGTTATAACTTAAGTGGGACAGTGTGTTCCAAGCTTTACCAAAATCCATTCACGAGACATAATGTTATAGCGACTGAAGGACGGCAAACACAATTAATCCCCCCCCCCCTCCATTTAGCTGAAATGGTCGGTGACAATTATTTGAATCCCCTGTACTTAATAAAAGTTCGCGCCTTCATAATATAGTTGATATTTAACATTAAATACTCGTAAGTAAGGGTAGCCATTTTTTTTTTACTAAAGCCATTTCATAGAAATACCTTGTTTCGAATACCGTTTAAAAATAGATATATGTCTACAGCTTTAGTAAAGGTGAATTGTCTTACCTGAATCTGATAAGCCGAAGCAGCCACATTTCCTGTACAGATGTTTAGCTCGACATTCACTCATACATTTCTCGAATGTATACGAATCGTTTTTATGTTCTAGAGGATTCACAAAGCCTTTAGCGTCCGTATCAATACATGGACGATCACCAAAGGCAATAAAGGGTTCCGGAAGAAATTTGTACTGAAATATAAAACATGTATGTATTATATTTTACACTCGTAAAATCTAAATTTAAAACACATATAAATTTGGAGTGGTTTTTAATTTGAAAACACCCCAAATCTAGTAAGAAGCTACTTAAGTCGATGCTAAAAATAGCAAGCACCAGTAAACACTCGTTTTACCTAGCGCGCCTGTCCTACGTTCATGGAAATAACGGCATTTTGGATCACTGTAATCCTGTACATGTATGCATCTAAATGAGCAGAGAGAGATGGGGTTTATCGTCTACTCGACATAAACTAGCAATGGGAGAAAACCGGAGAACCCACAGAAAGCCCACGAGGTTGGATAGGCGACCCTACTCCTTGTCACCAATGACTCAATTACGTACCTTATTATGCAACGCACACTCGTTAAAACTAATACGTTAAAACCCATTTTATTTCAAATGAACGTATGTTTATAGAATGTTTTATTATACCTGTGTCTTGCGTATACCAATATGAGTTGTCATTCCACCAGCTGCCAGGACGCTTGGCGAATCTGCTGTCGGCGTTATGTGAGGATCGTGAACTATGACCTTAACACCTGCTTCCATATTTGGGCTATACATATAATTCTTCTGATCCAAAAAGATTTGCATGTTTAGGTTTGCTTCGGCGCCCCATAACTTGGTTTTTCTGGTATGCTGGTGATCCGAGTTGAACGTAAAACATATGCCAGTATCCATGATCACAGGTTTAAAGTAATGTCGACATGGTTTGGAAACTCCGTCGAATTTACACGTTTCCAACATCACATCTAAATCTACAGATATATTCATCAGCCATTCCTTGGTAAGATTTTGGCTATAAAACGGACCAAAATTCGGATCACTCCAGTTCGCTTTTCCACCTTCAGCTTGGAGGTAAGATAACTTGGCGAAGAAGCTTCTCATGGTAGAATCAGGGTTCAGACGGGTCATGTTAAATGGACTGAAGTTGCAGAGAGTAATTGCGGGAAATGGTTCGTGTTTGGATCCTCTAACATTCACATTGGTCAGGGTTGTTCTCTTGTAGTAAATCTCTAGTTCTTTATATAGGTTATAGGCAAGTACACCGAACATCATAGATATAGCCATAAACCACCACATCCTGTTATTAAGACAAACAAACAGACTAGGTGTAATCAGTGTTTCATTGTTAAATAATCTAACAATCTGAGTAAAATACAGATCTATATTTCGTTCCGTTTTTTATGCTTTCTATGGCCTACACTACATGAAGATCTGACCAGTTGTACTGGGAGGCGGCTTTTGACCTTATGACGTCAGACATTGATTAATGAGCTTTGACGTTTCTAGGGGTTTACCACAGTTCCATGCAGAGCACGCCAAGAACTCGCCGTAACAGACCGTTTTATTGGCTAATTCCTCACATCAACTAGAACGCCTGTTATATAACAACTCTTCCAGATGTAAAGACAAGTAAAACAGAATTCTGAACTATAAAAAACGAAACGAAAAATGATCTGTGTTTTAATCAGATTGATTATCTAATGAAGAAATCAATCAATGGTGTGAATGGAAATGAGAGGAACCACAGCCTATGTTTAAATTATTTACAAATAGAAAAAGTATGGTTTATATATATTTCAGAAAGATAACTTTTAAAATTCATATTTAACGTTGATATACATTAAACTTTAAATGGAAAATACAATTATACTAATTTATTTTGGCGAGTATAGTCTACATTATATAAAACATCAAATTAAAACTTTCAATAACAAGCTAATGTATATTTTTAACGTAGATGTATATTAAACGCATACTTTAAAAAATGGAAAAAATATATACTAATTTATTTTGGCGAGTTTAATCCAAAATTTGCATTATATAAACCTTCAAATTAAACCTTTCAGTGCTGAGCTAATGAAAATGCCTGAAATTTGTTTGCTAAAATATTCGACAAAATTCAGCCAAATCGGACTATTGAAGTTATCGGTGATTTTGTAATAAAAACAATAGGTTGAGAAATCTGGAAGTTATTGGCAGCATTTACACGCCGTTGAATATACCTTGATTTCTTTCTTGTAAGGATACTATATTTTTTTCTCAATATTTACTTTCTGGGGGATCTAAATATTAAATTAATTCCTACCAATGTAAAACAAACAGGAAACCGTCAAAAAATTCAAAACCATTATAATGCAACAATTCTGGTTACATATTTTCTTCAATTTTAAGTCGTACCAAAACATTGAGTTGCTTTTAAGTTTATATTAAAACATTTACACACATGTAAACCATAGTATTTAAATCGGAAGTAGAGCAAAATTGTGTAATGATATTTCCATTGCGCTATTTGGAACCATCAACCTCTTAGCAACTCCACCAAAAATGAAATTTTATATATAAAAAAATACAGTTCCATTACACATTTGTCAATTTTATGACTATACCTTTACGATTAATATTGCATAAAAACAACTTACCATCTCAGTTTACTTTGTTTTCTAATAGGCAATTTATTAAAAGCGTGGAAACCAGTATTCTCGGCAAAGTCATTCCATAAATGGGATATGTCCTCTTTTTCGCCGACATTCGTTGAAAACTGAGTCATATTCCCAATTACTATGGTAGAACCGCAGCGAACTGTTGATTCAATAGTTTGACAATCCTCATCAGTTTTATAGTATACTTATTATCATTACCCAACCATTCAGTGATTGTTTTGAGACTATCTGCCTATGGGAAGAAGCAATCCAAACTGTTGGAGCAATGTAGCGGGTTTTATTTACAGCGCTAGAACTATCAATAACGTATCATTAATGTCACCTCCGTTGATTTGCTCCGAAGCTTAACACGTTACAAAAAGCATTTATCATTTACAGCACTTAGAACTTTGAATGACGTACTGGCTTCTAAATTCATATCGGTTACTTAATTAATAATAAAAAAACATTCACAGAAAATAAGTAAGCATGCCACAAATTGATTGACATCAATTATTAATACAGATACAAATAGTATTGATTTGTAACTATAGAAGAATCATCCAATCGCGACGCCGATCGAGTAGCTGATTTTAAAGCTCCCCTTTCATTCCTCAATGACTCCATACAAAGAAATAATTTCCATTTCCATCACATTAAGAACGCAAAGGTATCTTTCGTGTTCATTAAGCTTTAAATAAATATTGTGACGGATTGTATAGACTCATTTCATTAGTTATGAGTCCCATGTGTCCTGTGTTTTCAACACCAATTGTTTGGATCATTAAAGACTATATATAAACATGGTTATAACAGTATATACAATACCTTGTAATATCGTGAAAGTCGAACAGGAATATCTGCCCAAAAGTGGGAGTTGGGTGGCCGAATGGTTAGCACGTTCGCGATGTATCATAAGGCCTGTCATTGTGTCAACTGGCGTGGTTTCGAATCCCCGGTTGTACATGACAAGGAGTAGGGTCGCCAGTCCAACCTCGTGGGTTTTCTCTGGGTCCTCCCGGTGCTAAAGAGTCATACGCGCAAGCGAATTGTTTGAATGGAATTGAACCATATGTTAGTCCCGAAATGACCTAGTTAGTGTCGAGTGGACGTTAAACCCCATCCTCTCTCTTTCTCTCTCTGTCCAAATGTGGTTCAATTCCGTTCATTATTTACAAAGACATGACGAATTCCAAATTCCACTGGGCTATACTGCTCCCTATGTAACAAGACCACCGCCATCTTCATTTGCCGTGAACCAAATTGATGGGTCGCTTTTAAGTCTGATTAAATCCAAATCGGGAGATTTTGAATTTGTTTTCTTAATTAAATGTTAAATAATCAATCTAAGGGCAAATTAGCTTGGATAAAGCCGTGAGAAATTTCATATCTGACAAATGCAAATCATTACAGTCAAATAAGGATGTATTCGCATTTCGTCGTATATGTTAGTGAAATGAACAAAGAAAAAAATATCGTAGGGTGAAATCCGTCGGCTTTCATTAATGAACGCATGTTGTTTTAACAAGCAAACGGATTGTGTTAAATGAGCTAAATCCTTATTCTTTGGCATCTAGAAATGGACACAAATGGGTCGCAACGCATATAATAATCTAATATGAATGTATATAAACTGATTTACATTCAATCGTTTCTGTTTTTACTGTAATGTCTAATCAGTTATGTTCTCCGAAATAAGCAAAGATTCCAAATTGAATGACAGTCTTTGTCGTCTGGTTATTCAAGTCTATACCGGTAGTATTCTACTGTGTGGTATGTTTAGATTCGTTCGTCTAGTCACTTCATTACAAATGGCGCTCGAAAACATTCTGGCAGCGTGCCAATTTTAAATTTTTCATTTTGTCTCAAATATTGGATATCATAAGCCCATCTTTTTTTACGGTAAGACAACAACACCAATGTTGATTTAAACTGACCAATAAGTCGTGTTTGCCATGTCGAAGACGGTGGATCCATTGAGTTAAAGACTTGCGTCCTTTGAGAGAATTTTCTATAATTTTTCACTTAAACAGTGTTAACGAATGTTTTAAAAGTTATATAATTTTTTATTTTACACCATTTAATGTGATTTTAGGAGAAGGTTTAATTCCAGCTGCCAGAGGAGCCACGGTGGGTAAGACGCTGGCTCGCTAGCGTGAAGGTCGCGTGTACGATCTCTGCATTGGCCGAGAAAGTTCATCGGGATTTACCGACCTTGTTTCCCGTTGTCAGTGGTGCAGAAGGAGGGCCTGACAAGTACAGTTGTCTAGTCGTTCGGATGGGACAAAACCGAGGTCACATGTATACATTGGCTTGAAAGTAAAAGATCCCCTGGCAGTTGGAATTCGACATAAGAGTAGTCCGCAGCGTCGCTGCCCGGGCAAAATGTCCCCCATAGCACACTGCACGGCGCGTGTGCCCGTTTTCATTATCCCAGTCGGAGCAGAAGGGTAAGACGTTAAACCCCATTTCATTTCATTTCATTTCCTTTCCAACTGCCAGTGTTTTTTTTACGTGTACACCAGACTTCGGATTTCCTCCAGCTGCGGACAGAACGACTATACCCCCCCCCCCCTTCCTGCAACACTGAGAATTGGCGAACCAAATTGGAAATACCGGGGAGCTATCTTGACCAATATCGGGATAGAACACCGACCCCTGATTTAAAAAAAAAGTAGGTCGGGGCCCAACACACTGAGCCACATTAAACACCGATCAATTGATTTAACAAGTACACCAATCCCTTTTGTCTATAGTGCAATCCTCTAAATTATATCGATACAACAAAAATCTTAATAGAATCAGATCTTAATCATCTACGTTCTGGTTTCGATCGATTAAACAGATGTTGTTGGTACAGTCAACTCTCTCTTACACAATCACATCGCTTATTATTATTATGTTGATTGTGTTAGAATAGGACAATAACACATAATTTGTATAACATTAACTGTCACTGCCAACCATTGGCATTGTATTGTCCCGCATATCGATTACGATAGAATAAAAAAAATTGAGAATTCGGTGATAAGGTCCGTTTACATCTTACTTTTCTGCGCCGACTGGGCTAATGGAATGGAATTGAATGAAACTGGGTTTAGCGTCCTACTGTTCTGCTCCTGCTAGCCTAATGAAGACAGGCATACGCCATACAGTGTGCTATGATGGAACTTTCGCCTGGACAGCGGCGCCACGGCCTACTCTTATATCGAATTCCAACAGCCAAGGGATATTTTACGTACACGGCAATGTCAACAAGGGACCTTAGAGCGTACGTGTTGTATCATGAGGTCTGTCATTGAGTCAAATGGCGTGGTTTCGATTACCCGGTTGTACGTGACAAGTAGTGTCACCTTCCAACCTCGTGGGTTTTCTCCAGCCCCCCACACTTCACGCACTGCCAAAGACCCCAACACGCAAGCGAATTGTTAAAATAAAATTGATCCATAATATGTTAGTCCCGAAATGTCATAGGTTTTTTTATGATGTTAAGTGACGTTATACGGTAAATAGCATGTCACATCTGGATGCAAGAAATGTAGAGCAAAAGGTTTACTTTAAGTTTTAAATGTTGACTAAGACTTACAGATATCTAGCCTATATAGGGGTAGTCAGATTTATATTGTTCTTTA